TAATTGATACGATTGATCCAATCCAATTGAGGGAATTCTGGCGCTTCAATGCTTCAAATTATTGATTTGAATTTCACCTTTCAACATTGAATTTTATTACACATTTGAGAGAACAATTCGGACTTTTTGATTCTTTAAATATTCTTCCATCTCCCTATGGATACGACACCCCAAAGCTGTGATACAAATACCGCGTTATTCTTTGAGCGTAATCAAGCAGCGAAAACAAACAACGGTAGAAGTCGCGTGACATTTGAACCAGGGGATTGGGTTTGGGTGCATTTAAAAAAAGAGCGCTTTCCGGATCATAGGAAGTCTAAGTTGCAATCGCTTGGGGATGGACCATTCCGGGTCATCGAGAGGATCAACGATAATGCCCACAAATTGGATCTCCCAGGTGAGTATAATGTTTCAGCTACATTTAACGTTGCTGATCTATCTCTGTTTGATGCAGGTGCAGATTCGAGGACGAATCCTTTCGAAGAGAGAAGGGATGATATGATCCCAGGTGTTGTTGGAATGATGACAAGTCCAGGGAAAGATCCATTGATAGTTGACGAAGGACCGATGACTCGATCGAGGGCAAAACGAGAGCATGAAGCTACGCCATTGCTTGTTCAAGCTACGGTTGGCGATATGGTGATTGTGATGAAGAATGGAGCAAATTCCATGTTGGGGTTGAGGCCGGAATCGGGATCGATGAACTTGATGTAAGCAGCTAAAGACGGAGGCCAAAAGTTCCACTATGCGACCGCATAGTGTAACCCTGCATGCGGTCGCATGCATATTAACCGAAACCAAAGGAAGCCTGAAGGCTTGGCCTATGCGACCGCATATGATAAGCCTGTGCAATCGCATATGGTTAATTTTGGTAGAAAATTTATTTTTTCGCTAATTTTCCATAATTGCTAGAATTCTATTTTTAGTTAATCACTTATCTTATTTGTGAGATTATGCACGTTTTCTACCTAGTTTATAGGGTTTGGTATAAATACCAAAAACTTTTATTGTATTACAACTTTGACAATTTATTATTGAGAGAATATTGCTTTCCTTGTTCTTCCATTGAACACTCAATCGAACTTATCAAGATCTAACTCTTGTGGCGTTCAAACATCGGATCGTGGGCTCTTCATTGTGTAATCAAGGGGTTCAACGTGTCATCGTTATCGTTGGGNTCCTTGTTCTTCCATTGAACAATCAATCGAACCTATCAAGATCTAAATATTGTGGCGTTCAAACATCGGATCGTGGGTTCTTCATTGTGTAATCAAGGGGTTCAACGCATCATCGTTATCGTTGGATTTTTTCGTTCATCTTGTTGGGTTCAAATCCAAAATCGGGTTTAATTGCCGTTCTTGGGTTCCACATCAATCTAGCTGTGGATTTTGTAGTCACCGTTGCTACGGGGATCGCATCAATAGATATGTGGTATATTGCACATGATCTAGTTTGTAGGTTGGTTTTTCTACCATTAATCTTTAGAGGAGTCAAGAAAATTCTTTTACGCACTAACGAATTATTTGGACTGAAAACATTACGAAAGATAATATATACTAATTAATAGAAGATTGAGATTAAAAATATAGCGAAAAAAATTGAAAACAAGTGTAAAAATTAATAAAAATTAAGAACTTTCTTTACAATTAAAAATATAGTACATGTTTGACAATCATTATTTGAAAACTCTTTATTTTACTACTCATTTTCAATCACACATTCACACAATAAAATATTCTACACTAAAACCTAAAGTTTTCCTTACTTTTTAACTACACATCCTACAAAAATTCATTATTCAAAACTTTATTTTTGTCAAATAATGACAATCAAACAATAGTACACTAACAAAAAATGTGGTGAAAATATAATACTTTATTTTTCAAAAGAAAATTAAGTCAATGTTTGGTGGTTATTATTTTCAAAAAATAATGTTTTAAATAGTAATTTTTAGATGAATGTGTAGTTATAAAGTAAGGAAAAAATTTGGGTTTACATGAAAAATATTTTATTGGGTGAATGAGTGATTCAAAATAAAGTAATATTATTTATAGTGAAGACTGTCGATACGTCTACGTGACATACACATAATAGTTTGTTATTTGATGCATTAATTTAATAATTTTTTAAATATTTTATGCATCAAATAATAAATTGTTATGTATATGCCACGCGGAAAGACTAACGATAATAAAAAGAGTTTCAAATAATATATGTCTAGCTATAAACATTTTATTATACAAATAAAAAAGCTTCCGACCGTGCTCATGACGATTCGCTAAATCCTTGAAAAGTTATAATCTTTCATACCCCCCTAAGTTTCATTGTCTTCTCCAATTCTTCTCTCATCCCCAACCGTTTAATTGCCGCCCAACAAAATTAAAATCAAATTGCAGCAACTCCAGCAGCAGTATAATTTCCGTTGTTAAACAGCTCTTCCTGGTTTTCTCCGAGTCTTCGCAAACATTCACTTTCTTCAACATACAGCAAGAATATATCAAACCAAGATTTGACATATTTCTGTTAGGCGCTGTTTTATAGGGCAAGTTTTTCATGGAAGATGGATAATTTTTTGTCATTTCCACTTTTTAGAGTGTTGGATAGAAAACATTTTCTTGGTAATTGGTTTTCCACATTTTCTTGATTTGTCACATTTTCTTGCTTTTTGAGGTTTTCTAGGCAGTTTTTTTCTGCAATTGAAATAAATTATATCCCTAATTTAATGCGCAATTTTCATAAAAAATAAAGTCAAACGAATATCAAAAGATTCAAATTTTCAATATTTTTCAGGTGAAAAATTATATCAATCAAACACAATTAATTGATAATTCTAAATAAAAAAAGTTTTAGACAATTTAATTCCATAAAATTCATTTTCTTTCTATCCAAATTTTATTCTTACAATCAAACGGACCCTCAGATTT